ATGTAGTGATACCAAGGGGAGCATATATGGCACAGACCATATTCTGGTAGCACGGCATTAAGTCCATGAGATGGGATTTAGCAATGGTAACTTCCCAAATGTGGGTAGTTGAATCACTCACGGCCTTGCTCCTCACTGCACATTACTCAGGTAAACAGATGTGATCTCTCTCAGTTAATGAAACTCTCTTTGGAAAAATCTATTCCTTTTTTTTTTTTTTTAGGCCATAACACGTATCAAGATGGTAGAGTGGTCAGGAAAAAAAACAAACCTGAGAAAACGGACATCCCCAGCTTCACCTGGCTCTTTTCTCCATTGAAGAAAACAAAATAATTTGAAAAGCCTCTCAGACCACCATCTAAAGCAGGATTGTTGTAGCATCTGCCAATTGAATCCAAGGAGAATAATTTTATTTGGATTGTAGCTCTCACTTGTAAAAGCCTAACTTCAGTCAGTTTGCTTTCCATGGGACATATTTGCTCTCACTCTGTTTGCACTGATGTTTTGAGTAGTACCCAAGTGGAAAATAGAATTAACATGTTGAGTAAGCTTTATTCCTCTTTAATTTGTTATCACTGTCATTAAGAGTCTTTTATTTTTACTTTGGCTAATTGTTACAGGAACAGCAACGGAAATGTTATAAATATGTAAGTTGATTGTTTCATGGTACAGTTTTTCCATGGGATGAATCTTTTTCATTGATCACCAAAGAGTTCAGAGTGCTGGAACCTGGAGGCATTAGTAATTCCAAGAACTGAGTAACACTCTTTGCCATTCAGAAAGGCATAGAAATGAAGTTTGTTTCTAGTTTGATATATGAGAATTAGCAAAGCAGATAAAGATTCAGAGCCAGTTGGTACACATCAGGGAACAGGCTATTACTTACAGATCCATGTGCTGGAAAAGCACAAGTTTTTTAAGTAATCTATTAACAAAACTTAATTTCTATGTGCATAGTAGCTCACCAGCAGTAAGGCTTCTCCTTGACCCCTCTGTCTTTGCTGCTCAACAGTACCATTAAAAAGACTGCTTTTCCCTATGAAGTTAATTATCTACCTATGAATTTTATAGAAGGTAAAAAAAGTATATCAAACAGTAGGTGTTTAAACTTTTACTAAACCTGGAAAACTGAACCATCTTCAAGTTCCAGTCCAGCTATATAAAAGTAATTCCAACTGGATGTTTTTTACACCTATTTAATCACATAAGCCCTTCTGCAAATTTGTCTGCAGTGCTCATGTCACGAAAAGCCAGCTTTTCTCTCTGTTTTCCCTATAATGTGGTATTTGTCTTTTAATTAGATGTCACTTCTTCACCAGCATTATAATTTGCCAATACCTGGATAAGCAGAATAACATAAAATCTCTTTGTAATTTCTTAGTAATTTTGTATATTCAGAGATATGCCCATGACTTTATTTTTGGTTGCCTTTGAAAACCCTTAAATTCCGTTATGCAGTCAATCAATGCTGTAAAAGCAGTAGCAAATCGTACCTCTAAACCTGTTCTCTAAAAATAAGATCATCATCACTTTAGTGATGTAAGTGAAGTGAAGTAAGCCTTTACTTGCAACTCTTGATCTTCCAACTCCCCCTCCTTCTTTTTCCAGACAGCCAGTCATAGCCAGGCTGTGTCATTCCACTAACCTCGGCAAAGACACACTGCTGCAATTTTTTCCTTCAAATAATTTAAACCAGGCACAGAAAATGCTAAAAGCCATTACTACAGGGAACTTCAGGCACTATTAAACAGAGAGCAGAGGAACATCCTTGAAAGAAAAGTCTTAAAACCTCACTGACAGCTTACCTTTTTAAGTTAGCAACTGTATCTCCCAAACCAGCTTTCTGAATCCTCTGTAGAGCTTTATTTGAAATTGAGGTTTTGCTTTTATCTGGATCTGTCTCATTACAGCACATCCCATAGGACAGAATTTAGAAGGTCAAACTGAGGTGTGCACACAAAAATCCTATTAAGAGACCCCAGCATGATGCTCACTCACTGAAGGGACATTCAGTAGCAAAGGACCAGAAGCCTCCAAGTTTGTCTGTCTTGCTTAGCTGCTCTCTGATGGGTAGAAGCAGGAAGATAGTTTTACAGCTTAGCTAAACATTTAAAAGCACTGCAGAAGACAAGATTTAAAAAAAACCCAACACCAAACGCCATTAACAACTAAATAAGAAGTGGAGCTGTGGGAAAATCCAATACTATTTTCAGGTGGATTATTTATCTTCAAATACTCAGTCTTTGGGCACAGATTTGCAAGAAAGCAGGCCAACCTTCAATTTTTATCTGAATATTAACAGAACTTATATGAATCACTAGTTAATTTTAACACATCTGACCTTGGGCTAAGTATAATGTAAATTACTTAAGCTTGAATAGAGACTGATAACTGCTAGTTAAGAATACTCCTTGAGAAAAGGTTAACTATTGGATTAAACATAAAAAACTTCTGTCCATTCAATATTCTTCAGAACCACTGGACTTCATTACTAAGCATGGCAAAACAGACTTTCCCAATAAAAAGAAACAACCACCAAACCATTCTTAGCCAAACCAGCATTTTTTTCTAAATGATTTCCCATTCAATAGTGTTGAAATAATTATGGGATATCAAAGATAATGCAATAGGATCGCAATCATAGTAATTAATCTACAAGTGTATTTTTACAGAAAAACATAGTTTAACTACAAAACATTCAGTGAGCCCAATATGAATTGAGAAATATTAGCATTAGTATGTGGTCCTTTGAAAATGCATGGTGCCAACTGGAAAATTTCCATATCCTGCAGTATGGATGCGTACCTGATCATGTATGAGTATAAATACTGGAGACATACACATGTACACACTTACGTGACACTGCTATTATTTACCACACAGGTTCCTTGGCTTTGCAAGTGAAGACACTTTCCCATAGAATATATCACTTTGATATTTCTTAGTCAGGAAAAAGGAAAAATGAAGACTTTGTCACATAAGATGTTGCTGCTAAAAAATAAATACTGTGAGATGAGCAGCTCAATTTATATGAGCTGGTCTAACAGACAAATGCTGTCAGATGATAAGTGAAATTCAGTCTCTCTACAATTTACTTTTTTCTTTCTTTTTTGAATACAGGAGCACACACTGAAGTAATAAATTCAGGTCTGAAATTGCAACTATCCCAGTCGTTAAAAAGTATTTTAAAAAAATCTATACACCAATGACTGACAAACAGATTTTCTACAACTACAATGGACTTTATCATCATATCACAAAGGGAATTTAAAGAGGATGTGCACCTCCTCTTTGGCAGATGGGTTAGGGGTTTGTAACTCCAGGACAGAGAAAAACAGAAGTTGCAAAGATGAGCAGAGGAGCTGAAAATGTGCGTGCTGAAGCACAACTCTGCCTGTGCATCTCAACATAACCAGAACTGACACACGGAGACCACAAACAACCAACATGGATAAATCTGCATTAGTGTCTTCACCCTCCCTAGAAAGAAAACACATAAGATAAGGATGATACTGTTTGCTTTTCCACAGCAATGAGTTGCAGCCGCTTCTTAAACAGGTCTGCACAGGTCTTAAACAGGTCTGCAGAAGTACTTGATGCCATGACCCGGAATCTGCCTGCAGCAGAGGCAGCTGGAAGACAAGCTGTTACCATCACCTGGAGAAAGAAATGTTTCCATGAAACTACGCAGAACTGATCCATCCAGCCATTGTCACAGTGGTTCGTTTATTTATTCTTAATTCAGTTACAGATCATTTGCATCTTTGGTCACATTGACCATGTGCCTTAGAACAAAGGATCACATTTTGAATGAAGTATTGCTATCTCTCACTGGACAAATTCAAGGGCATTTCTACTCTTAAGTAATTACTTTCCACTTTTCTGCCTAAATCGTTAAAATCCCTTTAAAGGAGTATTTATTGATCACATTTCCTACAACACTTAATTCTTAGAGTTACAATTAGGAAATGTAAATAACTGATTGTGCTGTCAGATGAATCCCATATTATTCAACTGCTAGGTTGAAAAAAGCCATCTAAAATTGATGGGTTACTTCCAGGATGCTGTGAGACCCTGTCTATTAGATCAATGTCCACTCATGTATTTAAAGTTCTTTGAAACTCCAAAGCCTTCATCAAATGACCCTCCCTCAGGCTTTACGTTAATTAGTCTTTTCAGGACATTTTCCTTCTGGTTAATGATAGCAAATCCTTTGTTCTTTACGCAGTTTGTGGGCTTAATTCTTATTTATTTATTTTACAATAGCATTTACTTCTTTCTTTTACATATTTTCAACTTTCTTTTTTTCATTTTCAGCCCTGCTACTGAGCCACACAAACTCTCTACAGGGCTTTGCATGACTCGCCCTGTGCATTTTCTTCCTTTCTTGCCTGCTATGGCAACATTTATACAAATATAAAATTTGCAGAAGTATAAAGAAATTCAAGTTGAAGGGCCCTGAACAAGACCACCCAAAATGAAAGCAGTTTTCACACAGGAACGAGTATCTTCATGAAACCCCTCCTCCCTTGAACAGTCAACCCATGACTGTTTAGAGTTTCTGTAAGAAGCCAAACCAAATCCACCCTTTCAGCAATTGCTCTTTGTTTCCAGTATTTTTCCTAAAGCTGCTAAAATACATACTTCCATCCACCTATGCCTCAACAGGCTAGTACAGAAAAAACTGTAGGCACAACTACATAAGCCATCACTGGATAAACAGGAGAATTTCCAATTACACAGAAAACAAGGAAACTGGCAACTGCATTCTATACCATACTGGGTTCATTTATTTAGATAAATGTAACTGTGTACAACTTTTTAATTACAGAAGTGTATTAAAAATATGGTCTTTGGAATCCCAAAATTAGTCCCATTAGGATTTTCCAGATACTGTTGAGGTGCACTGGCACATGATTTAGCTCCTTCTTTCATAAAAAAATATTATGCAAGGATTTTGCCAGTGGAAGAATAAAACAATATTGAGAGATCATATTTACTGTTCCTCACAGCAAGACTTCACACTCATTTTTCTCACCCAGTAGTCTCATGTAACCCAAACCCATCTTTCTTGCCTTCCTCACATAAGGGAAGCAACAGAATCCAATTTTGTTGTCAGCCTCCATGTCCCAGAGCAAAAGCATCCAAACAGTGCTCTCTCAATTCCAGGCAAATTTTTCATATTCCCGTGTGTGCATACACGCACACAAATCCAAGAGTTTGCCATTTTGGGATATTTAAAAACAGTTATTTGACTTTAACACCTCCCCAAGTTATGTGCCCAGGATTTTCACTGGAGGCTGTAGGTCTGCTGCATGTCCTTCACTGACAGGGTTATGAGGAGGGACCGTGGATCCTTTCTGTTTTTGCGGACTACGATCTTCCCTCTCAGGGCCTCTCCTGCAACAGTTAAAAGGAAATTATTATGGTTACTGCACTGAATCACACATAGTAACAGCAAAGATGCACATGTTGCATGAGAAGCTGTTCCAAATTAATCAGAATTAAAAAGGCTGCAAAGGTTTCCTTTAAGTTTTCAAAGCCCTAAGCAAGTCAAACTAACTGCAGTTAAACCTGGTGAGGTGCTGAGTTCTGTTGGATGCTTCACTTCTCAGATGGCCCACCCAAAGAGCTGCTATGCCAAATATTTCACTTGTGACTGGGGAAAACGATATTAACCACCTTGGAGGAAAACCACGTAACCACAAAATCTATTTCTGCTGTATATGCCTTGTGGTTTGCATTTGTGCTGCATTTCATTTAAGCTCTAATTGGATAATGTTTTTATCTGGCAGAAAATATTAAGAGAAATCTTCATGGCATTTCAGGTACAGACATTATTAATTGCAAGTTTTGTTTTACAAAGTGTCAGGCTCTCTTGACCATAACACCTGATAGGTATGTCCGTCAGTTACATCCAGAGCAAGTGCTTTCACACAGAAGGGGAAGAAAATAATCTCAATTTATTTTCAGTCCTTATTAAGACCTTCAATTTAAGGTATATTTGCAAATTTAGGAATATACAATATAACAAAACACAAATATGTAAATTTGTACATTTAGGAAGCCCCCTATTGAGCTTCTTCAAACGATCATTTTATACCCACAAGAACTACATCTAAACAGATGAATCTACCAAATATATTACAGGAGGGCATGATCCCAACCTACAGCAGTAGTTCTGTGTTATTCTTCTATCAGGTTTCCTTTGCCCCATTCATTTTCATCCCTCACACCAGCCATACCTACTGTTACTACTTTTCTATCTCACTCAATCCAAAGTATTTCCTGCTGTTCATTACCTACTGTGATTTTAAAAGCCAATGTTAATGTTCTGCTAAAAAGCTTATTGCAAAAATGAAAACAAACAGCAATTTCATAACTAAACTGATTTCAAATGTAGGAAGGATTTAAGAGTTCTCCATGTGGCACAATTCTCAGTCACATCCACAAACAATAAACTGACAGACGGTCCACATTATAAGTTCAGGATATTTTGTCAAAGGCTGCAGCATAAATATCAAAGAAAGCTTATCAATAAGAATGACTGTGGTACCAAGGATCAGAAAAAACCCATATTCTTTGATAACTTTTTTTAATTATTTAACAGTTAGTTGGAGATTCCACTGTAATTCCTGTGCAGCTTTGTTATTAGGAGTCAAATTACTGACATAACACAGTGCAATTTGCAAAGAATTTTGAAAATGGTTTCACAGATTATTTAAATAGAGATTTGACAGACAGAAGGACAAGGTTAAAAAAAAGGCATTATAGTTTCATCTCAGGTAGGAATTTTAACCCAGTTTGAACATATAGATTTTCAAAACTGATACAAAATTATTTATTTATTTTAATATCCTGTGATAAAAATTCAGTAAGACTAAAGAGCCTCTGAGAACCAAAATTCAATGATTTAAATTAATCCATAATTCAATCTTCCAATTTAAAACATTAATACAACAGTATAAATGAAGCAAAATTTTTAATACAATTCCATAAATTATAGCTGACTTCACAGAACAGAACATTCAGATTCTGTTTGTAGAGGCAGTTAATAAAACAAAGCATTCTATTCCACTTTCCTTATGTGGTAACTACATTAAATCTGCCTTTCTGAATAAGACTTTTCTGAGGGCTGAAGCAAACAACAGCAGTGCAACCGAGTAACAGAGAGGCAGTTCTGACCAATTAATCAATGTCATGAGATAGAAAATGACGGATGTTTTTCCCCCCATTCTGCTGTCCTAGGATCTGCCTGGAGGAAGCTGGGACTGGGACTCAGCTGCATCACCTTGCTCTTATCACGCTCAGTTGAATGCAAGTAAACCACACAGTGCCATTGGAGTTTGATTAGGACAAAACTGAATCCATTATAATCCTCCTCCTGCATTTTTATTACCCCTCGGGGAGGCCTGAAATGTGTCCCCAAATAGAAAAAGCCAAAGAATTCAGCAGAAATGCTGCATCAGCTTGCTACTACGGGAGAAAATACATCCCTGGGTCCATACTGTCTCACCGTCAGAAAACCCACATTTGGTTACAGGCTCTAGAGAACACCCTGGACATGTGCTCAAACTCAAATCAGTTTATTAACATCAGCAGAACTGTAAGCAATGGCATCTGTCACTTCTGTTTGTGCAATACAATCACACACAGGGCAGGCCTGCAGTCTGTGAGCCAAGGTACTTCTTAGTGCAAAAGCCCCATCACTAAGAGTGCTCAGGCCCAACAAATCATGTTTTTTCAGTGTAGAAAGGATTTGATCAAACCCGAAGATTCTACCCAATCTCCCCTGAATAAATATCCATAACATCTGCTTAAAGCTTGAAATGACCCATGGCGATGAGCTTGTAATGTGAAGAGCTGCTCTGCCTTTCAAAACAACTTGGTGTCTCTTCCCTCTTTGATCACAGAAAGGACTGAAAGAGTTTCCAAAGGCAGCCAGCAATGAAGTTCTTTCAGGTTTCCTTCTTTTCTTCCTGGGGAAGAGCTTTATGAAGCCAACAGAGGGACAAGTAAGAACACAGTTCTCAAATAATTCTTTATTCTGAACCCCATTAATATTTAAGAACCTTATGAAAGAGCTCACTGGAACTGTTTCAAAGAGAGCTGCTAGAAAAGGGCAGTGGATCTGGGCTAAAAACACCTTAACTACTGAACTGCTGGTGAAAAGCATCTTTACAAATCCCCTACACCTTAAAGAACCACTTAGTGGTAGTCACACATTCCTTCACAGCCACCAAACAGTAAGATATGACACCACTCTTCACAATAAGGTTGTCCTTGTTGGAGGCTGACAATTTAAACATGATCAAGTTTTCCACTTTAGATTAACTGGACCCACTATCTAATGCAACACTGAGGTCTAGCATGCAACAGAAAAAACAGCAAGTCTCAAAAGCATTGCTCTCAAAGAGATGGGTAGAAAGTGGTTTCCATATCCCATCTATCTTATGAAAAAGAACAACTGAAATAGTTTGGGGGGGGGAACAAGAGCACTTCTCTTAAACTCAGTAACTTATCCTTAATCCTCCCATTCGCTTTCTTAAACTGCAGGCACCTTCAGCTGTGCACAGACTGTCACATAGGTAGCTGTCTGCCATCTCCTTTCTGTTCCATATCACTGTTCACCCTCTTCTGAAACTATGCTGAGGTTTTGCTTTTTCAGTTCATGCTTTGAGTATATTCTCAGAAGAGTTTTTGTAACAAATTGTCATGTTCCAACTCCCCAAGACAAACTCTGAACCAGGCTGCAAAGAAGTCTGCACTGAGTAAGACTTGCCTGAGTAAGGCAAGACAGGCTTGTATGGTTGCCTAGGATAATGTGTATGCACTGTGACTGAGATTCCCAGATAGCTCAGGTACTAGAAACAGTTGCCACAGGGAATGATGAAGGCCAGGTCCTCCAAAATGTACAGCTGCAGTGGTCAAACTTGCTCACCTAGAACTAGTTTTAATTCACTGCTTTTTGTAGTAGAGATCCTAAACTGTATAGCCTCATCCCAAGCTTTCTCTCTTATCAGTAGTGACAAAATTCAGAGAAAACTAGACTGTTGTCACTGCTTAAGCCATATCCCCTTGCAGCTGCAGACCTTGCAAAGGGAGGCACATAAAACAGCACAAGAAGTCTATCCAAGTTTTCCTGTCTAGGTACAGAATTTCTATTATCTTTCAGTGAGACAGAACAGTCATGGGAAGAGATTCTCTCAATTTAGTGCCTGAAACACACATTTAGAAATGTTTTTGAAAAGTCAGTAGGATCGTTTTAAAAAATACAGCATATGACATGCCAGATTTAGTGTGACCTCAAAATTCAAGTTTTAACTATTACTAGATTTTAAAAGCCAGCATCGTTTTTGGAGGTGCCACTTGTAAATAAACAAGTGACACCATTCCACAGACACCATGTTGCAGCTGTAGACATGCAAACCAGACACTAAAATCTTAATTAGGAACCAAATTATCCAACTGGGATGCACAATATTGAAGTATTTCACTATAGGATCAAAACATTCAGACAGATTAATTGTGCCAGCGTTGTTTTCCTACTTTTAATAATGCTGTCTAGGTAGACAAATTCTTTGAGTTTGTAAATTTACAAACAGCTTTCCAATTAGGGAGACTGGGGAGTTAAAGATAATCAAGTATTTTAGAGGGGCTTAGTCATGTGAGTTCTGCTTAGCTTCGCTGTGCTAGCCCCTTTTAGCACCACAGAAAAACAAATCAAGGTTTTATTTTCACTGCAAGGCAATATCAAGAACATGAAATGCTGACAATATGCTGTTTTACTGCTAATAGAATTCGCTTGCATACAGATCTGGGTTTTAACTTAATGTACTGAAAAGATTCTGTGGGCCCTCTACAATAATTTTTGTAAGCATTTTATTTATTTAGTAAATTCTTGAGACAACCAAATGAAAATGATGTAATTTTTTGTTTACTTAGCAGGAATATTTCAAGAAACAACAAAAGGAAGAGACCATTAATAAGACCATTTTTGGACCATTAATAAGAAAAAGATACTGCTTTGGCATCTCAATTTCAAATCTTCCAAATAAAGACTATTCTTTAGTTCAAGCTATTAAAATGGCTGCTAAGAGAAGCCTTGTAGTCTGTATGGAATCTACAACACAATACTGTTTGTCTGAGAAAACCCAGTTTGTCTGGCAGTAAAATATATGGCTTCTTTCTCCAGTTTCTTTAATTTTACTGGTTGCTAAGCAGTTAAAACATACCCTACACGCTGATGCTATTTTGTTCTACTTGATTGTACCTCAGTTTCAAGTCTCTTATCACAGTCTGTGAGGAGGAAAACCAGCTTTCCAGAACATGGAAACCCCCCAGTCACACAAAGCTGCAAGACCCATCCTTTGGCTTGCAGTTGCTTGATTCTGTTAATCATTAGAATGGCTAAAAACATTCAGTCTTTTTTATGGCTGAGAAAATAGATCTATTTTTACAACAAATAACCTGGCCTCAAACAGCTGAGAAAATTAGCTGGTTCACACTGCAGAACAAAACAATTTTGCCAGGGCATAAAGGAGCATTTTCCAGTTAAATACCCAACAGGTTCAGAAATCTGTAAGCTCGACTTCTTTTACAGAGCAAATCCAAATACAATCCGGGCTTTATAACCACTCCAGGCATAGCCCCAAAAGCTATAAAGCATCTGATAGAGACTTTTAGTCAGCCTTACTGTTTTACTCGGAATTAAAAATCTGAGGGAACCATTTTTCTTTACTGGGGAAAAACAGCCACTGCCCTGTCTGAAAAATGCTTTCAAAACAAGAAAACATTTAAAATACATTTTATATCAGCAAATTCCTCTTTCACAACCTATTAAAATACTAAAAGCAAATGCCACCATGGCTACATTGGTCAGATTATTGCAAGATTCAAATCATATTATTTCTATTTATTTATTGAAAAAAAAGAGCTTGGCATTCTGGCTTGGATTAGCAATAGTGTGGCCAGAGGACTAGGGAAGTGACTACCTCCCTGTTCACTGATGAAATCACACCAAAAATCCTGTGTTCAGTTCTGGGCCCCTCAGTACAGGAAAGACATTGAGGAGTTGGAGAAGGGAGTGGAGCTGGGGAAGGGTCTGGAGCACAAGTGTGATGAGGGGTGGCTGAGGGAGCTGGGGGGACTCAGCTTGGAGAAAAGGAGGCTCAGGGGGGACCTTCTCATTCTCTACAACTCCCTGACAGGAGGTTATAGCCAGGTGGGAGTTGGTCCCTCCTCAGAGGTAGTAAGCCACAGGACAAGAAGAAATGGCCTCAAGTTGTACCAAGGGAGGTTTGGATTGGACGTTAGGAATAATTCCTTCATGGAAAGGGCATTGGAACAAGCCACCCGCATGTGGCAGATAATGATATGGTTCAGTGGTGGTCCTGGAAGTGCTGGGTTAATGGCTGAACTCAATCCTAAAGGACTTTTTCCAAACTAAATGATTCTATGAACACATTTAGTCACAAGTGCATTTTCTTTGTTGTTTCTCCCGTTGCCATACATATTTTTCTGATTATAAGAATTTATATGGAGGGTTGATGAATACTGGTAAGCAGAGGGATGGATGTAAAGCTGAAACGTTCAAATGATGCAAATGTTTTTAATTTAATACAGTTACTTTTGTCTTCCATTAACTTGCATTCAGAAAAGTCCATTTGAAGACAAAGTTTCCCCAAAACTGGAGTGGAGCTCAGTTCAACGTGGAGGCTGATGCAATGTACAGCAAAAATAGTAACAAGCATCGCTGGTTCATTAACAAGTGGCAGATAAGAAACAGCTGGAAGTGCAAATATAAATATAAATTAAGTATACTGCAAAATAAGTTTGAACAGTTTGTTCAGCTGATAAAATGGAAAGACTGAAGAAACAAAAAATATGGTTAACCACAAATTATCAAGATGAATATTCAAGTCACTATTCTGACAAGGAAAAAAAGATAAAAAAGAAAAATAGGGAAATCTGCACTTCAAACTTGTCTTAAGGGAAAGAGATTTTTGGAACAAGAAGGAGAAGGATCAATGTCAGAGGGAATGGTTTTCCAAGAAAATCACCTAAATTAAGACGTTCCTGTATCAGGAAGTGCCTTCCACCCTGATGGGTTTGTGCCATCTGTGAACTCCAAATATCCCACAGAAATTAAAACTGGGATTAAAAAAGAAAAGGAAGCTACACCAAGAGTTTCTCTCAGAATCTTCTCTAACACTAGAAGCAATAGGTAGAAAATCCTAGATTTAAGTGTTAATTTTACATAAGATATAAAACCAGACAATGGGTAAAAGGATGAGAAGGGGGAACTCAATTACAAAGAGAAGGGGACAGGTAGAAAGAAAGAGAAACATAGCTGTAACAAGATTTGTTATGGGAATAATTTCAAGAAATATGAACTAATAAAAATAAAGGAAAAGAGTTATAGCACAAGTGATTTTGAAGGTCAGTTGGGTTGTGTTCACTGCTTCAAAGCACACTGTTTCTGCAGTTGTCTTCAGAAAGTCACTGCACCTAGACTAGAGATCTGAGTTTGAGGCACCACCTCCCAGTAATTTCACACATTTGGTAAATGTCAAAGGATCTATGTAATATGCATATTTTAACAAATGTCATTGCACTTAAAAAAAATTCACTTTGCACTCTATGACATTGAAATTTAATGAGTAGCAGCAAAGGAGACCTCAGTCAGCCTTGTCTAGAAAGAGAATCTGAAGAGAACACAAGCAAAGTACAAATGCACCAAGGCACAGTTGCACCCCTAGAAGTGACAGGGCCAAAGAAATTGCAGATGAAAATTATTTAAGAATATAAAGTTGAAGCATGAAAGAGAGAAATGATTTGTCAGATAACACTGACCACAGTGCCTTTAGGAAGGAAGCTCCTGGTTGCCATGGCTGACAGCTGGAAGAAGCAACTGTAAAAGCAGTTTGAGTGCAGAGGCTGCTCTCACCACTGTATATTGATCATTAGGTATGTTAAAAGAACCATCTATAACACAGCTGTCTCCTTTGAGAACGCACACAGGATCACTCTCGAGGAAAAAAGGCAACGCAGAAAGAACCGTAAATTGCAGAACACACCATCTAAGGAGTCTTTCTGCTGTGCCTTTTGCAATCGGATGTGTCTGTCACGTTTTGGCCTCATAAGCCACCAGCGTGCCTGTAGCAAATGTGGATAGAGCCTTCCCAAATCTTCGTTCGCGAAGCCCAGCCATGATGTTAAAAGAGACAATATTCCATCTATGTCAATACTTCTCTATAGCACCTCTAAACCTTTTGACCTCAAGTGTTTATGCAGCATCCACATAACTTTTTGCATGCTTTCCCCCCAATATGTCTGATCTACTTATAAACTGTTCAGGTCAGGGCCATGTATTACCATGAGTTCATTAACCAACCAATAGAAATGAGCCCTATTCTGAGTTCCTCCCTTGGTCCTGCTAGTCTGTAAAGAAAAATGGCCCTCAAAGATGACTAATTCACCACTGGGTAAGAGTTCAACAGTGAATATCTAGTTACTAAATGGACAAAAATAAAATAACAGCATAAAAATGTAACCACTTCCTTTGATCATAAAAAGATTATGGAGAGTCTGCAAGAAAGTTCTATAGGAATACAAGGCCAAGACTTTTAATTCTTGACCTGCTATTCTGATGGTCATGAATATACTTGTGCCTATAAAGCAAGAAATATTCGACTACTTGTATAAAAATGTACATTTAAGACTTTCCAAATAGAATTAATTAAAACCACTAACAAGCATTGCTTTAGTCTTCAAAACCTTACTTCAGCAATTTATTATCTGAATGTTACGTTATCTCTAATGACAACAAAAACCTTTTTACTTGCATCAAATTCCAGGTGAAACTTATTACAGTACTAACCATTTCATAAAAATTTACAGTGTACCAAACTAACATATTCGATACTTCAAATGGATCAAGTTCATGGCTGTGAGTTCTTTAAAATTGTTTTCAATTTACAGAGGAATCCCACAGTGGCACGTACAAGCCATGTGTATATTCATGATGCATTTGACAAATACAGCATAGTTCAGGACTGCTAAGGAAAATACTGTGCAATCACTTGACCAATTTGATACTTTGGAATATTAGCAATGTTAAAATTAGGAGACTATTAATAGCAGTGTACTGGTCTTACATTTTTCTGCCTCATAAATGCTTTGATATAGAAGTTTTTTCACCAAAGTTACAGTATGGAGCTATACAAGCAGAAGATATATGCCCACTTACATACTTATGCATACATTTATGAGTGGTTTTAACATTAATTTTGTACAGATAGATACCTTCAGTGCTTTGCTGAGACAAAAAAATTTCTTCAACAGTAGCTGAAATATTTATTTACTAGTTCTTTCTAACACTTATATAGTTTTTAAAGTATTTCAGGTGTAAATTTAATGGTAACAGCAGTGTAACACAACCATTGTTGCACCAGAACTGAATTTAAATATACCTGCTTCTACAGGAATTGGTTTCTCCAGGAGAAAAACTGTCTGTTTCCAGTGTGTTTTGGTACACTGGGGACCAGTGGAAAACGAGACCTGCAATGGAAGAGTTCAAGAGTTTGATTAAGAACAACCTTTTTGATATCACACCACATCAATCATTCACCAAACACACACAAATATGAAGTCTCTGCTACAGCAAAACAGATTCTCTGCCAAACACCTTGAGGCAGAAAAAAAAAATACACCATCCTCATCTCTCAGAGACATTTTCAAAATGCATAACCCCAAATACCTTGTTGTGACAGTTCTTCTCAAAAAATATATCAAAGTAACCAGCAACTGCCTATAAAAAAAAAAAAAAAGGAAAATGTAAATACGGTAAAGGAATAATAATGACACTCAAGAAAAAAAAAAATCTATGATTATATATATATCTATGGAAATTTCTACTCCTTTCCAAGCATTTACCAAGAGGAACAAGCTTATATTTAGGATTTCTAGCATGCTTGAAAGCACAAGGCAAAAAAAATAAGCTGCCTTCACACCTTTGCTCTACTTGAGAATATTCAGCCCACTGTAACTGCATTTTACTACATATCAAATTTTAGCGTAAGCTTCCAAAATAACTCACACATCTAACTGCAACTAGAATGGTACATCAGAAAACAGCCTTTCCAATGTGCAAACCCACAAACATAAAACTCAGTCCTTGCCCTGTAGGGCTCCCAGGACCCTCAGTAAACACACACACACATTATGAGGGAATTGCATGACAAATTCACTCCTTGTGTAGCTGAACAGTATTTTCCACAGAAGCTCCCTGTGAACAGAGGCAGAGCACAACCAGGCAGGGAATATTTTTCTTCCTCTACTACACACATAGATAAGGAAAAAGATTCATAAATGCTTCCCGCTGGCCTTTCCAACAGCTAATAGTTTCTAATTGTAACTCTCCATAGGATTCCTCCTCTGTCCCTCCTGCCATCCCACTCCTAACCTCAAGAAGAGCCTTTCTCTTCAGTGCCTAATTCAGCAGTGGGATTTCCAGTTTGAAGAGGAAAAGAAATCACAGAATGGTCTGGGTTGGAAGGGACCTTAAAAATCACCCAGTTCCAATCCCCTGCCATGGGTAGGGACACCTTCCACTAGGCGAGGTTGCTCCAAGTCCCACCTAACATGGCTTTGAACACTCCCAGGGATGGAGCAGCCACAGCTTCTCTGCACCAGTGCCTCACCACCCTCAGAGGGAAGAATTTCTTCCAATATCCAAGAGATACAAAATATTCACATACAAAGCAGTGTACCCACAATTTTAGTTACACAGTCTTTTAATGCTGGACTGCTTTTTTGACAAAAAAAGCCTTGTGGGAGTCCCAGAAATCCAAAGTATTCAAATAAACAACTGGAAGATGCTAATAAAAGAGCATCCACTCCAGTTTCACCCCTGAAATCCTGTCCATGCTCACCTTTATTTGCTTTCTGCTGTCAAATGAGAAAGGTTAAAGCACCTCAGACCCTGGGCCCAAGGCAGCTGTGCTTTTCTACTACATGACAGCCTGGAGAAATGACCCAGAATAGAGCTTTTGAGTAACTGCAATCACAGTTGTGTTTAAGTTACTCAACTGGGGACTCCCTGCATCCCTGTCATGGAAGGGAGGGAGGGATTCTCCCCAGGTCAGCTGTAGTGCACTCCAACAAAATATGTACCAATTCAATGATGGAAAGCCTGTGGCATGAAAACCCACTGAAAACCACCTATTATAACCTCCCTCTCACCGCACCAGTATTTCTCTCCTACTCCAAGATTAGGAAACTGGTTGTTCTGAATAGCTAAAAGGATGAGTCCTGTAGCATGCTCTTCATATAGATTCACACACAGATTGTGAAGGAAAAAGAAAGTCAAATATGCTTACAAAATTAAGGTATAGGGCTTTATCATTATGAAATATATAATCTGAATAACAAAATATATAATCTGAATAACAGCTAGGCCATTCTGGTTTTTTCCTCTCTAGTCTAAACCCAGAACAGATTTCACCAACACAGTGGAGAATACAATGTGTTAAAGCAGTAAAACAATGCTAAAGCACCTATGTTAGCTTTGAGACCAAGAGCACTCCAGAGAAGCCTGGTAAGTTCCAAATTCTAACCTGGCCAAAGAGTCAAAAAAAAATAACTATGGATACACCAACAGACCTTCATGACAAATGAGCATCAGACAGTGTAAACAGTGACTCTTCCAGTCCTTCAGTAAAGTCCTATCACTCAATGCTGAGAATCTCATTCCCAAGTGAATTACAGCCTTGCCTCTAATATGCCTTTTTGAGTAAAGATTGAGAAGTTTTTGACAAAGTTTTATTGACCCATCAGACTACTTTTATTGATGCACAATGTTTTCTGGACATTAGTCAGAGATCTACTAAGCCATAAAAGTATTTTTCCATCATCAGGTCAATAATGCTGGTATACTTACAAATAAGACCTAAGATAAGATCACTAAGATAAGATAAGGAAAACAAGGTTGTGACAACAAAAATACATTGAGGAGAAAAAATCTGGTTTCCAGAGAAAACAAGACAATCAAGCCACATCTTGGATCAAAAAGCTAAAAGCTCCAAGCAGACAGACCACAGTCAGGCATCTATACACTTGGTAACAAGAGGTAACAGAAACACCCTATATGCTACCCTGAGAAAACTTCCCCACACTACTATTTTTTGGGGACAAGCTCGGGTTGCAAAGAAACTCAGTTACAAGCAAAACCGTTCCCTGCTGCCTCCGGTGTTCAGGGAAACAGGCTTTGTATCTTCTGTAAATGACTAGGACAAATAACCACTTCATAGTAAGAAGTTTCTCTATCTGAAATAACCCAAAACACTGGCTTTGAGTATCTAATCAAGAGGTAGTAACAGTAATTATTACATCATAAAGACCACCTTAATCAGAGGTCCAGGGATTACAGAGAGCAAGAGTTCTACACTGATACATTCATTTCTTTTTGTTATGTTCTAAAATGGATAATGTCCTTCAGTATAGAATAGTGAAATAATTGTTGAGCCAAAAGAAAAAAAACATAGAAAAATATTATTACTCAAGTTCCTAAGGATAAGCTTCTGTGAACAGCTTCAGGCATTTCCCAAAATTCTGTCAGTTAAAACTGGGCAGTGGAGGCATCCCAAAATCAAAACATGTGCTCCAGTGAGTTGTGTCAACAGGCAACCTACACAGTCCTACATAGCAAAACAGAAATTATATATATTTTAAGTTAAATACATAGAGGAGAGAGTTTGAATGATGTTTTGAAAACTAAATGTAAGAACACATATTGCAATTGAGAAGTCTAATGAGTATCTTTCATTAATACATTTTCAAAATGGTTTTGAGCCAACTAAAAGAACCAAACACTCGGTTTGATGATTTTCTTCGTGAAATTGGTTACACCTATGCAATTTGCTTTTAACAAATGTTTTTAGGCAACCTGCCATCACTTACCAACACTATGTTTAATCTCCACATAGCAATCTCTTCCCTAATTTTAAAGAAATCTAACATCAAACCCAGTAGTTACTGACCACTTGCAAAATTTGTCTAGTATTCCATGTAACAGCTATTCCAACTGCAGCTGAGAAAACAGAGAGTGAAAAAGCACAGAATAAATATATCCCACTTTGATGCACCTAGCCTATGGATGACCCTGTAATACAAGAAACTAAAAAAGTTTAAACCTGCAGTTCAACAGAAACACAGTTCTTTGCAGATACTGAGGGAGTAAGGGTAAGCTCAAGTCTACGCTAAAGCCTCCCAGTAACTCCAGCCTACATTAACTATCTTCTTTTCCTCTTTTTGATTTCACATGGAAGATTTCATGTGTTAGATTACATGTGCTTCCCTGCCAGTAACATTCCTTTGAAAGGTATTCAATTTATCCAAATTATAGATTATTTTCATGAAGTAAGTTCAGGTTTATTTCTGAACAGACACCCTACATTTTTAAATTCACCAGCTCTTTTGAAAAAAGGGATTGTTCTGTATGGTCCTCTATAGCTTATGTACATTCCTATGCTCATCCAAACACTAAGCAATGCTTAAATGTTTAACTATACTGTTGGTATTTTGAGATCTTTCTGCTTTTGAGCTGTTCTGTCACATTTGGCCTGCCCCAGGCCTAAGGGATCTCAAGCCAGCTATACAGGTACCCCCAGACTCATTACAAAGAGCACACCTGGCCTTCCTAAAACCTATCAGGTGATTCTGCAGAACAACAAAAGCAACTGGGGCAATTGGCTGCTCCTGGCTTGGATGAGTGTATTCTTCACTGAGTACAACAGCAGCTGGAGGGCAGAGCCCAAAAAGCAGTGGCAAATGAAGTTAAATCCAGCAGGACCAGGGCAGTGATCAACCCTCTGCTCTCAGCACTGGAAAGGCTGTACCTCAAATCCTGTGCACAGTTGTGGGCCCTTCACTGCAAGACAGACATTGAGGGGCAGGAGTGTGTCCGGAGAAGGGAATGGAGCTGGGGAAGGGTCTGGAGCACGAGTGTGATGAGGAGCAGCTGAGGGAGCTGGGGGGAGAAAAGGAGGCTCAGGGGGGACTTTCTCACTCACTACAACTCCCTGACAGGAGGGGGGAGCCAGGTGGGAGTCAGTCTTGAGGAAATAGCCTCAAGTTGCGCCAAGGACGGTTTAGATTGGATATTAGGAATAATTCCTTCACGGAAAGGGCTGTCAGGCATTGGAACAGACTGCCCAGGGAAGGAGTGGAGTCACCATTCCTGGAGGGATTTAAAAGTCATGCGAATGTGGCACTTGGGAACATGGTTTAGTGCTGGACTTGGCAGTGCTGGGGGAATGGCTGGACTCAAAGATCTTTTCCAACCTACACGATTCCACAATTTAATGCCTCTGGAAAAGTATTGAAGGATACAAAGGTGCAATGCTTTATTATTTGTCCTCTCAGTGTTTTACAAAAAGCTTTCTATAAAGCATTAGAATTTCTGCTTCTACATGAAGCAGCAGGAATCACAGAATACTCTGAGTTGGAAGGGACCCATGAGGATCATCGAGTCCAACTCTTATGTGAACGGCCCATATGGGGATGGAACCTGCAACCTTGGCACTATCAGCACCACACTCCAACCAGCTGAGCTCATGTTTGGTGCTCTCCTTGAAAGAGCTGTGCAAAACTAAAATGTCTGGCAGCACTAAGAAGTCTGTTTCAATATGCTCAAAAAACCCCTAAAACAAAACAATCACTATCACTTTTAAGGTGTATTAGTGTAAGCACTGCACCCCTCCAGAAATGATCTGGTACCCCACATTAATGTACTGGGAAAAGGGAAAAAAG